GTGCCCTCCCCCTCCGCCCGCCACGCCTGCACTGCTCTCAACTCCACAGGCTCCGCGTGGCTCCTACCCGCCTTTCAATGCTAGCTGGCACCGTTAGGTCCCAGAGTTAAGTTAACGCCCTGTACCTGTGACTGGCACCTCGAGGACCCACCTGCACATCCCAAGCTGCACAGGCTCTGGAGTGCTCCCTTGTCTCCCTTTAAAATCAATCACCTGCTATTAGGCTTCAGAGTTCACACATGATCACTGGGACTTGCGCCGAGGGAACCCCCCATAGCCCTGCCCCCACCTGCACCTCTAACCTGCCCCAGCCCAGCCCCGCAGGCTCAGGGGGCCTCCCTCACTTCCTCAAACTATGTTGCTTCATTAATTTCCAGAGTCAACATGCCCAAATCGCTCATGGCCAGCAATTGGGGGTCGCTGCAGCGCTGCCCTCCCCCCTGCTCTGCAATCCTGGTCCCATCCCCACAGGCTCACAGGGGCTCCACCCACCAGGCCGGTCTGCCTTCATTAGCTTCCAGAGTCATTACAACATCGCTCACTGCCAGGCCTGAGCAGTCATTGTCCCTGCGTCTCTGCCCTTCCCCTCATTGCCCCTAGCCCTGGACCCCACCAGACCTCCGGAGTATCACGGGGTTTGTGTTGCAGACCGGGGGCCGGAGTGGGGCTTGGGCAACGGTGAGCACCCTCATCCGCCGCAACCTCGTCCTCAAGGCTGGTGTACCACCCAGGTGGGTGCCAGGAGCCTGGGGGATTGGGGACAGGATTTATGGGACACTGGACATTACGGGACATTGGTGATATAGGATTAGGCGGGGGGGGGGGCCCAGGAAGGGGAGGTATCCCGAGGACAGTGGGATATGGGACTCTGGGAATCCTGATGTGCTTGGTTGGGGGGTGGGGGCGATTTGCAGGGGGTTGTGGGATGCTTGGGCTCACAATAGGGCCAGGAGGGGGAGCTTCCGGGGATTATGTGTCTGTGGGGGTCCCAGTGGGTTGGGGGACTCTGCAGAGGATTATGGGATGCTGGGGCCTTCTGGGGGGGGACTGGGACTGGGGTGTGAATCTGGGGATCACGGGACTGTGGGACTAGACTGGCCTCATCCCCTCCCAGGTACTCACTGACCCCCCAGGGGCTGGAGCTGGCCCAGAGGCTGGTGGGGGGCCCTGAGACTCAGACCCCCCTGGACTCCAAGGATGAGGAGGAGAGCCAACCCCCAGAGCCCGTCTGGTGAGTGCAGCTGTGCCTGGATGCCTGGGGTCCCTCCAGCTCCCCCCCAGAGCATGGTGGGGCGAGCAGGGGGCTGGGGGCCCGAACTCCTGGGTTCTCCCAGCTGCGGGAAGGGAGTGGGGTTGGGGGTTAGATCATAGGACACTGGGAGCCTCGGGTGCCTGGGTTCTGCAGCCCGTGTCACTACCCACCCCTCACCCCCTTCTCCCCCCAGCCTGACAGAGGCCCCAGGGGAGCCTGCCCCCGAGATCATCCTGCGCCCTGGGGAGTTTGACATTGTCCTCTGCGTGGACTTTATTGAGACTACGGGGTATGTGGGGGACATGAGGTTGGGCAAGGGGGGTGGGGCTGTGGGTTTGGGGAAGACTGGGGAGGTTGTCCATGGCATGCTGAGGCTGGATGTGTGGGAGATTAGGGGTATTGGGAGCTTTGGCCCTGTGTTTGGGAGGGGACTCTGGGGGCCTGGAAGTGTTTGCAGGGAAAATTGGGGGTCCTGGGCCTTGGGTTTGGTGTAGATTAATTGGGGGCGGGGCTTGGGGAGCTGGCAATGGATGTCAGAGTGAAGTGGAGCAAAGGGCTGTGGGGGCTGGTGTGGCAACAGGGGGCTGGGCATAGGGGTGATCAGGTTGCGGGGCTGGAACTGGTTGTGGGCCAGGTTGGGGAGGGGGGCTGGGTTTCAGGGAGGATCGTGTGGGAGAACCATGTGGGGATCTGAGGAAGCTCAGCCCTGGTTTTGCAGTGACTGGGAGGGTGGAGGACGGGAGCAGGAGGTTGGCTGTAGGGGTTTAGGAGAGTCCAGCGGGGCTGGACCATGGGTTTGGGGGAGACCAAGGGGGTGGGGGAGCTGGTGGGGGCCTGGATCTTGGAGAGAATGGGGGGAATGGTACTGGGGCTGGTTTTGAGGGAGATCAGTGGGTTGGGGGCTGTGGGGAGTCCAGAGGGACTGGGTTAGGGGGAGGTCAGGGGTGGGAGTTGTGGGGAGGTGACAGGGGCTGGAGCTGGCTGTATGGGGCTGGGTATAGGGAGGAGGATCAGGAGTCTGGGGGGCTTTGGGGTCACAGGCAGCACAGGGGTGGCTATAGGGGGTCTGTGTTTGGGGGGGTATATGGGGGAAGCCTGGGGGTCACTGCTGGGGGCAGCTGCCTGGGGCCTTGCCAGGAGATGGGGAGGGGAGGAGCTGGGGGGGGCTTTAGAGGATTTGGGAACCTCCTGACACAGTCAGGGGCACCTTGGCCCCCCTGATCTCAACCCTACCCCCCAGGCCAGCAGGGGGCCGGAAACAGGCACTACTGGAAGCGCTGGTGCGGGGTGCAGTGCCCTATGACGTGCGTAAGCTCCACGTGGCTGATTTCGTCTGGGTCGCCCGGGAGCGCCAGCCCCATGGTGGGTAGCATGGGCTGAGCCAGCTCCAGGGGCACGGGGCTGAGGGGCACTGGGTAGAACCAGCTGCTCTAACACCCCTCCATTTCCCAGGCGTGGGGCCCCTCCGGGAGCTGGTCCTGGACTACGCGGTGGAGCGGAAGCGCATGGCCGACCTCTGTAGCAGCATCATGGACGGGCGCTTCCGGGAGCAGAAGGTGGGGGCTGGGGGCGGGGCTGGGGTACAGGTTGGGCATTGAGTATAACTTGGGGATGGGTCTCACCTTGCAGGGGTGTGGTCTGGGCTTGTGGGGGCAGGGCTCCTGTGGTTGGGGGCAGGTCCCTAAACCTACAGTGGGAGCAGCTATGTGGCAGGGGTGGGAGTCCAGGGGGTGAGGCTTTCGTACCTTCCAGACTCAGCCAACCAGCCTCGGCATCCTAGCTTTCCCCACGGACCACATCCCCATACCTTCAGAGCCTCCACCAGACCTCCCCAAACCCTCTTCAGAGCCTGCTTCAGGCCCTCCCTAGCACCCCCCCCTTCCCCTGCCCCCTCCAGGGCCCCCGCACCAGGCGTGGCAGACCCACAAGTCCTTGTCACCTACCCTTAGAGACCCCACCACAGCCAGACATGGCCCCTGCCCTCAGCTGAGCCTAGAAACAGCTGCACCCAGCATCCCAGTATGGACCCAGGCCTACCCTCCCATGGGTCTCTGCACCTGGTGTGCCCCTGCACCCCCACATATACCCCCTCCACCCCACAG